ATATTTAGAGAAGTAAGCCTTTGACAATAAAATGCATTTCTTCATGTTTTTTTTTCGAACAAAATTTTATTGCTTAAATTTTTTTCCACTTTCAAGATTCAGATCATTTTTATAAAAAAAAAATCTTCCAGTGGAAAATCAACACAAAACCACGAGTTAAAAAGGCCTATGGCGTCCCGTATTCTTGCAAGAAAATGCTAGGTAAGAAGTAGGGTTTACGCCCTGATCTTATGTAATGGATGTACGGATGGATGGTTCGCTATTTTGGTGGAAAGCCGCACAATGTTAGGAAGGGTGCAAAGGTTAGCCGGCATTGCCATTGTGCGGTGATCAGATCATATCCAACAGGGGCGCTGAATGTCGTCTGTTATATGCTACCGAGTGAACACTTTATAAAATAAGGTGCTTCACAGAGTGCCCTTAGGTTGAGGGCACTGAGTCCGTGGAAAAAATGCACTTACGAGCATGGACGTATCCTGTACTTCTTCAACGGCCCAAACATTTACGAAAAATCTGACTACATCTGCCCGTTTTGCTTCTCTTCGCGAAAAATTTCGGCACAATATTTCTATGAATGAAGGGGTGGAAAAATGCTGCTTTTACGAAACGCTTCGAAGCATCTACTCCTATGGACGCCTCAAAAATGGATTGTGGCGTAGCGGCGAGGATTTTTCAACTTACCTGCTAGTGTAAAAGTATATTCGACTAGCAAATACGGCCAGTGTATTTCAGGCAGAATTCTTTGCAATCAACGAGGCGTGCATACAGCATAATTAAATAATGCGCAGAGTACGTTACCGCTTTGGCTAATAGTTAGGCATGTCGTTGAACTGATCTGGGTGCCAGAGCGAGAGGAGAAGCAAAATATAAGCTACTGTATTTTAAAGATTTAGAGATGCAAAGTTCACAAAAATAGTCTCGTTGGGTAAACAGATTGCCTTGACTTTCAAAATGACTTTCAAATGTAGAAGGATTTTATTTTATTTTTTTCTGTTTTGACTTGAACCCAGTATGAATTGAACTTTTTAGAAGCTTTAGTTTAAAAGTTTTTTGCTATTGCGACAAAGAATCCATTTGCAAGCTATTTTAGGTAAAAAAACGGAACAAATAAGGGCTTTATTTTGAAGGCTAATTTAAAGGTCTGATTGAATGAAAAATTAATTTGACCACAAACCCGCCCTTCAGAAGTAAAATTTTAGTTTTTTTTTTGCTTTTTTTCAACCTAAAAACAGCATGCACTGAACTTAAAAAAAAATAAGTGCCTTTTCCGGTTATTACGACTGTGGAAATGTATGCTGCAGAACAGCAAAAATATCGGCTTAAAACTTTTAAAATGTTCATGGCATATTGGTTTCAGGTAAAAATAAAAAATAAAACCTTGCGATTTGAACGTCATCTTAAAGGTCAAAGTAATTCTTTTACCCAACGATACTTAATATTTTTCCTGAATTATCTACTTCAAAATTTTTAAAATACCGTTTCATCTATTTCGCTATCTCTTCTCGTTACACTATCTCTTCTCGAGATACATATTTCGTTTTGTCCATTTTTTCCAAAATACAACACTGTGCGATGCAAGCCAAACAAGAACTGTTTTAAAAGTATTTGTCCGGTTAAAGAAGATAGTCACGAAGAAGATATTATGGGGAAACGTTATAAATATAGTCTGTAAACTGATTTTTGGATAAAAATCCATATTGAAAAATTTCGAGTTGTGGCGGTTTTTTTATTTAGGGAGATATATGTATATTTAAAATGTGTTTATCAGAGTTATTTAAGCGCTAAAAATGTAGTTGGCTATTCCAGTTCATCGCGCCAGTGAGTAGAGCAAGCACACAATGCCTTTCAATATTTGCTAAGCAAATTAGTGCGGTTTTCTTATACCAAAAAATATTTGATTTGCCGATAGATTGAAGCAATTATTACGCAAATCTGGTGATGTGATATTACTGCTTATGATTAGGCTTCTGTGTTCAAAATTTAGCAATTTTATGCCTAGGCACTAGTCATACAAATAATACAGAATTTTGCTTCACAGGTAAGCAAAACACTCTTTTAGAGAAATCGAATCTAGGTTTTACATGGACGTATTTTACGCATAAATATATATACATATACTTTTTATTTATATCAGTGTGTTTTTCAATATAATATTTACATACCAAATTTATTTGAATATTCAATAAACTTTAAGTACATACATATGTATCTTTGTATATGGAAGCATAACTTATAGTCTACTTAAATTGGTAAATATCACTTATTTAATGGACGTGATGTTTTACAGTGCTTGATTC